GTAAATAATACATACCTTCCTGGAAGGGTTGCTTTAGGATTTAAAATAAGCCGTGAAAAGGACCTGGCCCAGAGTCAGTATTTGATAAATGGCAGCTCTTACTATTTTATGATCTCTGCCAAGGTGCAGATAACTGTGGGAGCTCAGAGGAGGTGCTCTGCTCACCATCCACTGGACCGTCCCGACAGGCGTGAGAAGATTAGAGAGGGACCAAGAGTTTCATGGGGCACACTCCTCTGTGCTGAGTCTGGGAGGGTGAGTAGGATTTGGGAATGTGGTGAGAAGCATAGAGAAGAAATTATATTCAAGACATATATTTGTATACATTTTGTTTTTACAGATAGGGACTCATTTTACATCATTTTTATTTGCAGTATGTGAATCAAATCGTGAGGTTACTTTAAGCCTTAGCATGAATCCCAATGCCAAGAAGTGTGTATTTCTTCTGTTTTCTTTTGTCATCCCCCACGAGCCTTTCTATGTAATACAAAGCATCTATTGAGCGATTGCAGAGGTGCATGACCTGGCTGTGTTGCAATCTCTGTGCATTAGTGGAGGCATCCTTCCAATTCTTTATTTGGATCGGAGGTGTTTTAGAGACGGTGTATAGACCCTAAGTTCTCCGTTGTTTCTTGGAATGATGATAATGACAGTTGTGGCTATTATTGATTATTTGTAACTCCCAGTAATCTAGAATCTTAATTTGTCAAAGACCTCGCTTCTTGGTGAGTCTGAACACACTGGCGTCTTCCCCGTGTCCTTCCGTACTGGCCGGCCTGCAGCTCGTTTTGGCCGGGCTGACTTTGGCCTTTGTGCCCATCCTTTGTGTCTATGTGCCCGGCCTGCCAAGTTCTTGAGAAAACGTGAACCTGACTCTCTTTCAGACTTGTTAAGAAGGGGGCTTGTGTCCTATAGAACAAGTGCTAACAGGAGGTCCTCACCATAACTCTCCTTTGCCGTGTTCTCTCCCCCCTGTACTTTCTGAACCTTTGCCTTTCCACACACATTTTTTTTTTTTAATTAGAGATCTTATAATAGCTTTGTGGTGCTGGCTTATTAAGGGACCTGCATCCACTGTAGTTGTAAACTTGTTGGTCTTTCTCTGAGTTGTAAAACAACACCCACGGAAAACCTCATTCTATTATTCTAGAACACTTGTTGGGCTGCTAGCAGAGGCAGAATGCTGCCCACAGGATTTGTCCCTGAAGGCATCAAGAATGATCAAAAAGAATCTTGCAACTGGGCATAGTTCCTTTTGAGGGAGAGAGGTAAGTAAGTAACTTCAGATAAGTATCATTCTAATTCTTACTTTCTAAATGGCTAATGCTTGGCTGACGTGCCATAAAACTAATTTGTTTATAGTTGTGTCACATAATTATACACTCTGTATATAATATGCTTTTGAAATTATTATTTATTGCACAAATATTAAAACAGAAAGTAAACTCAAAACATAAGGCAAAATGTGTGTGGGCTCACCATTTGTATAAATCAAACTTTTTATATCTTTTTGGGCTCGCTAATAGTCCCTTTTCTATGAATTTGTAACTTTGCACGCAGTGGAAGTCATACTGTAGATACCAGCTGGTGGTCTGTTTCCCCCAGTTTCCCTTCCACACACACCACAATATTATTCACATATGCTATAAAAATTAATCACGTCTGCATGCAGAAATTTAGTTATACTTAAAGAACTCATAATTTGAACTCAGAGCATCTGGAAACAGCCACCACCCCCACCCACCCAGGTACTATTTTTTCTCTTTGTGGTAAGAGTAGGAATTAGGGATGGTAGCAAGAGTGCCAGAGGTCATTGTCAAAGGCCGTCTTGGTAATTTCATCAGAAATCTAGATGCATTGCCTATTAGAGTGAAACTTCTTTGCCTTCCACATTCAAAGAAGAGAATTTAGAAGGAAATACTTAAGGACTTCTAAGATGTCCAGGAGAAAAGTCTCTACATTATTAGTTTTAGTGGGGGAAGTTAGGTGCAGGTAAATAGTGACAAAAACACCTGCCTTCTTGGTTTATTCTGGAATGCTTTTGGCTTGGGTTGAAGGCTTCCTGATGTTCTAGGTGTTCTCTCTGTCTCTGTCTCTGATTGTCTGTCTATCATTCTCCTCTGAAGATGAGCAGTATCATTTCTTAGACTGTGGATGGAGGTGTTGGGGGTATAAGATGATAACTCGAAGCTTTCCAAAAGTTCCCAAAGTGTGCACAATGCGTTTAACATTTGGAAGGAGATGGAAATGCTGCTGTGTTGATAGGCAGGGGAACCGGCAGAGAAGAGCAGTGGCCTGAAGTCACACAGCAGAAGGTCAGATCTTTGCTCTGGCACTAAATTTGGTGGCCTTGGGCAAATTACTTAACATTTCTGAATCTCTTTATGTGGAAGATAATTACAGTACCCACCTTCCATGGTTGTGGTGAGGATTAAACCACATAATGTACATAATGCACTTAGCACAATGCCTGGCATGAAGAGTGAGCACTCCATAAATGTGAAATGTCATTGTTGTTATTTCCTGCTTCACATTATAATTTTACTGTTTTCCAAACTGATATCCCTGGACTTAGATGGGGGAGGGGCAGTCTGTAAATTATTTTCCGTATTTCAAAATCTAAGAGAAGGAGACACTTCTGGTCATTGTAATAAGCATGTGGTAGATGGAGTCTTTGAAGCATGGAACCCACAGGGAGAGAATAAGAGAAAGGGTTTGTGGCGTTGAAAAAGTTGGAGCTTCTGGCTGAGGCAGTTAGCAAGTTGTTCTTTAGTGAAAGCTGGGGGGTTTCCAGTGGTTATGGGAATAAATAGAGGGATGTTATGAGCAATGGACTTGATTGATTGCTGCAAGTGATCATTCCCCCGTGGAGCATCAGAAGTTGGTACACTCTGGAGTTCCCAGTTGCTCAGTCGCATTTTCTGGATTGGAGAGTGTGTTATCACTGCCAAGTGCATTATAAGCAGTGAGAAAACTGCCAGACAAATGGAAACCGGTTTCTCTACCCAACTTGGTAGAGCGTTTGCTCTAGGCAACCAGACAGACTCCAGAAGACATTTGTCTTTACTCCCCCCCACTCTTTTTTAGTTGTAATTTAAACTGACATCACTTGATTTTGACATTGCAACAAGGTCTCTGTAGACTTAACATTATGTTCATTTTCCCATGCCCGTCGTCCCTGGAGATTGATGGGTTTATACCAACATGGAAGTTGGTTGGAATGGAAACCATCCAGAAAATGATTAGGGAGCTTGGAGCTTTCTGAAACTGGGCACAGTGTGTATTAAGTCATTATTGTTTTAATGAAACTTGTCTTAGCTGGGGTCTCTTAACTACTTGTTTCCTAGTTTGATACTGAGTCAACAATTTACACTAATGAGACCCTGTCAAGCTTTGCAAAAGACTCTATTAAGCTTGGTGGAGAAACAGAAACAAACAAACATCCTGGTTTCAACAGAAACTGTAAACATACATATCTGTGAAAAAATTCATGGCAAGTATGTTTTATATGATACCAAGGTGGTTTATGCTATGTCTCATCAGTAAGCAATTAAATACCACCCTTCCCTGGTAAATTTGCATACTTACGTGTCTGGTGTGAAATCCTGCACACGTCATCTTTTCATGGTTTGCCTGTGGATTATCCACTGTGAGAATTGTCTCTGGACAACGGGAAGCAGCAAAGCATAGTGGAAAGAATATAGGCGTTGGAGCCACCCATAGCTCCCAGGTGGTGGCCAGGTAAGTTCATTAACCTACTTTTGCCCGGATCTTTTCACCTGTAACGTGGGGCGGTAGTATTTATAGGACAGTGCTACCCAAAGGCTTAGTAGAGATGATGTAAGTAGCTAATGCAGAGCCTGACATATAGTTGGTGTTCACTAAAGGGTAGATTGAAAGACCTGCACGCTATCTAACTGAATTCCTCCCACATTTGTCCGAGGCCACCCAGCCTTTCTTGGCCTTCTCTGCCATGATCAGTTAGTGTGTGTTCTTACAGGCAGCCTGATTTTTATCATTGGCCCAGAGGGGGGAATACTTAGGAAGGCCAGCCTACTGCAAGAGAACTCATCTATTTTGCTGCAGAATCAAATACAAATGGTTTTGGGATTGTCCATTATTTATCTTTCACTTCTTCTCTTCATTAATAGTCCTAATGGAGGCGTAATTGTCTTTGTAGACTTTGTTGGTCATAATCTCTTGATTTCTTTAAATTCCACAATAACCAAGAACGTGTCGTGTTTTTATGATCTCTTTTGGTTCCCAAAACCCAAAGAAGAACAGTGAGAGGGTGGGAGATGAAATGGCAGGTTGTTTATTTATAATTTATTTTTCTGGAGAACAGTATTCCTATAGAGGGGTATTCTCTCCACTCTCCTGCACCCCCCAAATTGAGGTAGTAAGTGATGGGAGAGAGATACTCTGAACTGCTTTCACCAAATTCTGCTGTGATTTCTCTTTGCACTTAGTAGTGAAATCATCAATGCTGCATGGAGACGTTTACCTTCCATCATATGTTTGCTTCTTTTTTGTTGTTGTTGAGACAGAGTCTCACTTTGTTGCTGGCATCAGCCTAGCTCACAGCAATCTCAATATCCTGGGCTCAGGTGATCCTCCTGCCTCAGCCTCCAGAGTAGCTGGGACTACAGGCATGTGCCACCATGCCCAGCTCATTTTTTGTATATATATTTTTAGTTGGTCAATTAATTTCTTTCTATTTTTAGTAGAGACGGGGTCTCGCTCAGGCTGGTTTCGAACTCCTGACCTTGAGCGATCTTCCCGCCTTGGCCTCCCAGAGTGCTAGGATTACAGGCGTGAGCTACTGCGCCCGGCCTGTTTGCTTCTTGATTCAGGGCTGAGTGCCTGTTTGAGTGGTTCTGGCTACAACTAAATGGTGTTTCTATTTCAAATAGTACTGCAAACTGTAGAGAAAGATATATATATATATATATATATATATTTTTTTTGTTGTTGTTGTTGTTGTTGTTGTTGAGAGAGCTTGTTCTCTTCTTTGGGTATCTTTCACTCTCACGTCTCCAACCCATTCTTTAAAAAACAAAACAAAACTAACAAACAAAAACTTGTATTGAAGCAACATCTAGGCCTAGGCTGGAGCCTTATTCTGATATGGCAGAATCCTGTTACCATCTTTTTGTAGGTTAATTTCAATGGTTTTAGACTGACTCACGCAAATCTCCCAGTATTATTGATGAAGACAGAAGAAAAGGTATCACTAAAACCTCCCAGGATTGGTTCAGGGAAAAATATTCTTTATCTATGGAAAATTCATTGTCTTATCAAGAAGGATGCCTTTGAAATAGTGAATTTTTATTGTCTTTTTGCAAATAATATTAATACATTGTTCAAGAAAAAAAGATTTAAAAATCTCAAGACAAAAATGCTATCCTAATAGCGGTAATGAAAAAATATATATGAATCTCATTCTTAACAAAGAATTTAGTAGTTCATGGGAAGTATTGTCTGACTTAAATCTAAAACCATTGCAGTGGTTTTGATTGGTCTGTTCATGTTCTGGAATGTGTTTATAGATCTTGGCCTCAGATGCTTTTCCTGACTCAGAAATTGGAAAACATTTTGTTAGAGGAGCCAACAGTGAGCGCCTCTTGCTGCTGTAAATTGGGCCCAGGGCTGACATGTTACGAGCTGGTCCTGTCGCTCAGGGTGAGCCATGATGCTGATGCCATAGTTTCTTGTTTACATAAAAACAGAAAGAATGGACAAGACACTCTCTAAGTACAAGGTAATTACTACTGAGAAATGTCCAGGAGTCCATTAGTGAAAGAGGAACTTGAGGAAAAGGAGAGAGAGAAGAGAAATTGCACTGTCCCTTCATTAATTACTCTCTTGTTTTAGAATGCAGGTAGTCCTTTGGCTTATTTTCAAAGTGTGGTATGTTTCACTTTTGTTCAAACCTGTCAAATTCTCAAAGGAAAACCTACTTAAAATATTCTTTTCTTCTTTTTGGGGGGGCTGCTTTGGTGTATTGAAGATGATTAAGAGCTGCAATTTGTGAGGATTTTGATGGCATTTTTTGGCAGTGGTAGTGCAGGACGGGAGAGATGGGCCGTAGCATTTAATTATTAGCAGGGAGTCACAGGCCACCTGTCCAGCTTTCCTCACAGCGAGGGAGTGGTCTCTGCTATCTGTTCTTCCCACCTCTGCTGGATAAATTCCGGAAAAGGAATCTCACCGATGGATGAGCTGTACTTCCTCTTCTGAAACACAAGAGCTATGGAGCTGAGGAGCATTGTCTCCATTTGGCACATATTGGCCACTCAGTAAAAATTGATGAGCGAATGAAAGATGAACCACTGAGATCCCAGGGCTGCTTCTCACTTCTTCTTAGGGCGGTTAAGGCCCTCTTGACATTTTTGGAAGATGATAAATGTATGCTCTTGAAATATCCTTGTCTAGACCAAACAGCCCCAGTTACTCCACAGTCTTTGGATACTGTGTCCCATTTCTCTCCTTCTTGTCCTCCTGCTGGCTGAGTTCTAGTTTATCAATGTTTTTCTTAACATACTGTAAAAATATCTGAACAAAATGCCCCAGATGCCTTGGTTTGAATTCAGATTTATCGCTTATGAAATGTTTGACCCTAGGCAAGTTGCTTAATCTCTTTGTACCTCACTGTCCTCATCTATGAAGTTGGGGATAATTGTATACTCATTTATAAGATTATTATAAGGAATAAACAAATTAGTTTATGCTAATTATTTATGCCCATGACAGTTCCTAGAACAAAATAAGCACTCTGTGTTAGCTTTTGTTAAACTTACAGTGAAAAACATACATGTCTTACTATCTGAAGTGCAGTTAGCTTTTTCAAAGAGGCTTCCAAATTAGGGCTATGTTTAAACCCTAGCTCTGCCACTGAGTGTTCTTGGGCAAGTTACTTTACCTGTCTACGCTTCTGTTTCTTCATCTGAAAAAGAGCATAAAAGAATAAAAGCATTTGAATTTTTGAGCCCTAATTAAGACCCTTGAGGGCAGAGCCATGATTTACATTTCTTTGCTTTTTTTTCTTAAACTCCCCCCCACTCCCAAAACCCCAACTCTACCTGGTATGCCATATGTACAATGATTGCTAAATTAAAAGAGTAAATGTTTAAACTGAGTTTTCCCTTTGAGTCTACCTTTGTAGTGGAAAAATGAAGTTATTCTGTGTTACTTAAAGCTGTGCATTCACAAGTTTCTAGTGGTATTTTGCCTCGTTGTTCTAAAGAATGTATTCTGTTTGCCACTGTGCATTGTCTAATTTTCTTGGGCTTCAGGATATATAGGCTTGTTTGATCACTTCTCTCCTCATTACCTGCTGTCTAGGAATTTCTAGGGGATGTTTAGGCTGGTAGCTGCATTGGCCACTAGTCTTTCAAATGGCTGGTGAGGTGGGTAAGTAATCAGGTGAGTGACAAAGGTTATAGCCAATTTTCCTGGGATTCTGTGATTCATTTTTCTTGTGTCCTTGAAGCTTTAAGCAAGTGAGTTTTAAAGTTGTTGAGAAAGTGGGAGACTGTTTTAAAAAATGGTTTATAGTTATTAATGTTTTCAATTCTTGGTCGGATTTAAAAGGTGGGTTAAACTGCTAAAGTGAATATAAATTAAAACCAGTTAAATAGAGGAGTCCCTCGTCCATTCTGTCTTTGGTGTGCTTAGGATTCCATAAATTTTACGGGTCTCCAAATCCTTGCCTTGTTTTGAATGTTTCTAATAAGACGGAGTAAAGTGGCTTACACCTCATGAGACATGGAACCGTTACCCAGGAATGCTGCTTGGCGCACATATAAAGAAAGCACTGGTCTATTGATTCATAAAAAATGTGTGGCTGATTTTCCTGGGACATGTGCATTATTTTCACAGAAGAATTTCATTTTTTACTTCCTCCCACCCTGTGCATCACTTGTACACGTTTGCAATTCATCAACTGTGATTTCTAAAATTTTGACCCCCTCCTCTCTCAAACCACCTCCAGCCACTACCTAAAGTGAAAGAGATTATGTAGGGAGGAGGGAAATTCTCTTAAATGCCTCATTTTCCTGTATATAAGGGGCATGGTGAATTTGAGAAATGGTCTGAATTTTAGTCCAGATGACTCAATGCAATTATGAAACAAATTGGAAACTGTTTCCATGAAAGAGAGTATGTGTGCAGTTTCCATGAAAAGTGTGTGTGTGTGTGTGTGTGAGTGAACATGTGTTTATGTCAGCTTTTTCACTCTTTCTTTCTCTTTGTCCTCTTTCTGTGCAGTCTCAAGGCTATATTTGAGGTTGGCTGTATAGAAATGAAGTCATGCTGCGCAGCCTCACCTTCTAAACCCAAAATACACCAAGTAGAAGACTGTATAGCTCAATCTGGTGACAATCTCATGTACAGCACTTTTACTTAACATTGAGGCTGCGAGAAAAAAGTAAATAGCTAACTTTGTCTTAGAAAGTAATAGCTCTTTTCTTCAGTGAAAATAGCATTTTTAAAAAAATTCTACCTGGTATACCAGGTATATATTTTTTTTATCCTGTGAAAAAAATTTCTTGGAAAATGAGGGAACGCAAGGATTAGTGCTAACTTTTCTTTTTCACACATCCAACTTTTGATTTTCTAGTGAGGCAGAGCCGTTTTCCTTCAGACGCTTGAGGGAAAGGGAAATGGCCTCCAGCCTTGTTCACATTCAGACGCCAAGACCCAAAGAGTTAATAACTTTGCTTCAAGTTGAAAGAAAAATTCCTCCGGGAGGAGGAAGGCCATAGAGATTAAACCCTTGGCCTTTGGAGCCAGACCCACATAGATTCAGACTGTGGCTCTGCCACTCCATGTGTGACTAGGGCAAATTGTTGGACCTCAGTTTCAGTTTCCTCATCTGTGCGGTGGAGACAATCGTGCGTGCCACTTGATGTTGTGGCGATGGTGTCATAGTGTGTGTAACATCTGGCATGTGGTAAGAGTAAAATACATTGTAAACTACACTTTTTATTTCTTTGTTTATTTGTAAAGTTATGGTGGAAGCATTGGCCCTGGAGGAGGGAGTAGGGTGAGGCGGAGTTTGTGGGAAGGAGGCGCTGGGGTTGTGGGGAGGACAACAGAAATGCTCTGTATGGAGTGGCTGAAGTCTCAGTAAATAGCACTGCTTTTTACTGTGGGCCAGAGGAGACTTATATATCTTTAGAGGAAATTTAGGGGGTATTGATTCTTTTGGCGGGGGTGGGTAGGGGGGGAAGCCTTAGACTTCCAACTGAGAGAGGAAAATTTACCAGCTTCTATATTCAGAAGAAACAATTTATTAGACACTTTGGGGTGGGGAACAGTAAATGAATGCGGGACTGGGCCCATTTGATGTGTGCTGTCAGAGTTTGTAAGCTAGCTGATGAATCAGCAAGAACGCGTCAAACAACACAAAGCCGCTCCTTGTTGGAGCACACAGGTGAGGCTTCGCAGGCTGCGCGTGGAGGGGCGTGAGGCGTCCTTTGCCCTCCGGTCTGGGTCCTGACCACAGCAACATCCCTCCTGGGGGGAACAGTGCTTCCAGAGTGCTTTCCTCCAAAGACCTCTCTGGCATCTGGCTCGATTTCATGCCGTCTTCTTCTCTTTTCCATCTGCTTTCTTACCTGGCTTCGGCACACAGCCAAACTGTGGGCAGATGGTGTGGCCTCGCGGACTCCGGAGAGGCCTTGCTCCCCTTTCCTGGCAGCGTGGGTGTGTGGGGAACCAGGGAGGTGGAGGGCTCCGGCAGGACTCGTGTGGAAAGCTGGCGAAGGCTTCATTCCCAAACGTCCCTTGGCATTCGCAAGCTTTGCCGTGTTCCTTTATTTCCCCTTTGCTCTGAAAACACCGGAGGAACTTACTGGAAAAAACCCGATTGTTGTTTGTTTGCGTAACAGGTTCAAGCCCTGCAGCTTGCAGCAGCCTCGTGGCTGTCTCTGTAAGTTTTCTCTGTCTCCTTCTAATCTATTCACCATATTGTAGTGGGAATTTTTTTTTTTTTTTTTCAAGACTAGAAATCTGATCATGAGCCTTCCTTTAAAACTCTTTTATGGCCGCCATTTGTGTACAGGTTAGGGACTGAAATCCTCACCGTGGCTTGGCCTGCGGGACTCTGCGGGTCTGGCCTGTGCTGCCTCGGCTCCTCAGTGCCAGCCCTTGTCACCCTTCATTCTCCCCCCCTTGCCAGGACACCTAACCGTGGAGCCCTCTCTGCCTCATCCGCCGCCCTGCTTACCTGGTTACGCTTGCTCAGGGCATTCATTCTCTCTTCATCCGCACTATTAGGCCTTTGTCACAATTTGTTACTGTGTCACAATTCATACTAATTATTGGATACAATTTGTTCTTAAATAAACACATTCATAGTCATGTGTTTATTTCTTGTCAGTCCCCCTCACAGGACTGTAAACTCCATGAGGGTGCCGGCCACCGTCTGTTTAGTCTGTATGGTATATGAAGCCTGCTGTGTCGTAGGTCATGAGAGGCCATTTGTTGAACAACGCCATTAATTAGCTAATTACTTTCCTCTATCAATGGTTTGACAACCAAAAATGTAAAAACTTATTTTGAAAGGACAATTTAACTTAAAAGAAAATAAACTGTCAGAGAAAGGAGAAATAGAACCTGGAGGAACTTGGAATGACTCTTACAGTTGAGCAGGAACACAAGTTTTGAGCAAAGCTTTAGTTATTTATTTTCTATTTCTTTACCATATAATTACTTATATTTGTTTCTTTTTATTACCTCCTGGTAATAAGGAAGGGGTGGGGGAAGGAAACCCGACCAGATTACTTAGTTCCTATTATTATTATTATCTGGTGAAAGGAAGCTCATCGGGAGTGATGACTATTTCCTGGCACTAAATTTGACCTGAAAATTGTAAAATGAGTCCATAAAGAAAAAGAAACACCCTCTTCCTCCCGTTATGGATGATGTCTTCTGTTGTGGTTTGCCCAAGGGACAGGGTTTGTGAGAGAGAGCGAGTTGAGATAAGGTAGAAATGAAGCCTGTGTAGAACTCAGAGCTTTAGACAAACTAGGGAGATGATCTGTGGTCTGAGGTGAGGGTCAAGGCCACAGACATGGGAACCCCCTTCCTTTCTGGTAAAGTTTCTCACGTGTATACTGGGGGACCTCAAGGTATTCTATGGCAAAAGGGTTCTCCAGTCGATAGGTCTACAAAGCACTGCCTATTCGGTCCTAGCCTATTCTTGAAGATGTATAATGCACATCAACACGTAAAGACCCTGAGAAGTCCTATAGTGAAGAGGTGTTGTTGAGTTGAATCCACCATTTTTCAAACTTATTGGACCACATAAAACGTTCTTGGTGAGCTTCCCTAAGCACAGACCTGGGTAAATGCTATTAGTAATTTAGGAGTTGGAGAGAGAAATAAGAACCAGCATGAGATGGAGGTAGAGAAAGTCAGTTATCTACTTTGTTGAGAAGAAAACTGAAATGGAATTTTGGTTTGTTTTTTGTTTTATTAATAGTAGCGGGGTAGGGTGGGTTGGGCTGGAGTGGGGGTGCCCACCAAGTAAGGGTTAGGGGAGTGAGGGTCTTCCCTTTATGAAGATGGTGTGGACCACACTCATTTTAGGGAGGGTTTTGGTTGTTAGGAGGGCAGGTTGCTGGGTGTGAATTCAGGGTCTGCCATGTCTCAGCTGGACTACATAGGAAATCATCTACCATCTCTGTGCCTACTTCCTCATCTAAGAGTTAAATGCGACGATGTTTGTGTAATGCTGAGATAGTGCCTGCTTCAAAGTAAGAGCTTAATAAATGTTGCCTATTATTATTAGTATTGCTGATTAAGCAATGCCAAGGAATTAACAAGCATGGAAAGATTGGAGCCATTTACTTAGAACAAAATCTAGAAATGTCTAACAGCCAAAATATTCTTCTCATGGGGCCTTTTCCAGCTTCAGGCAAGCAATAATATGTTTAGAAGTTGATGGGGTAATAGTTTCTCAGCTGGAGAAAAACCCAAGGCTCCGCATGAGTAGAGAGGACCACACCGTGTGTTCCTATAGTGTTGTTGAGGGAGTCATGTTATATGCAAGTACATCCAAATCAGTAATCATAGTTAGCCTTGATTGCCAAACCCAAAGTCTTCCTTTATAATCTTTTAAATTATTTCTTTAACAAGTACTTTGCCTGTAAAAGAATTGGAATCTAATAAGTTTACTCTTGACTTAATTTGAGCTGTGTTTGAAGTGTTGGCTTTCTTGGTGATTATGCCAGGTTCTTTTTGATTTCCAGGCAGTTGAATCAGGAGATAGGATGTTTGGTTTTCTAGTTACTCCATAAGCAAAGTTTCATATTCATCCATCCATCCATCCATCCATCCATCCATCCATCCATCCATCCATCCATCCATTCAATAAACTTTTATTTGTCAACTACCTCCAGCCAAGTACAACTCACCACTTCCAATTTACAAAGTGCGCTCACAAAGCCCCAGAATTTGGTTTGAATATCGTACTAGGAATTCTTTAGGCCTCTGAAATTTACTTATGAAAATGAAGGAGACTGTTCTGTCCTAATTTTCTTATCTTCCTCCTTTACAAGTTCTGCTCTGTATACATTGTGATCCTGTAAGAGTAAACTTGGAAACTAGATTAAATTTAAGACCTAAAATATCCTTTCCGTAGGTAGACATACACAAAGAAGTGCTAATTACTAAATAATTAATAAAGCCATAAATAACAACAGTGATGCTGCTGGTCATTATTCCACCTTTACATAAGCACAGCTGCCTCTAGACCTATTCCAGGGGCTATCTTTGACAACATGAGACAGTGATAAAGTGAGTTTCTTTAGGAATTTTTTTTTTTTTTGGTACAAGCAGCTGTTTCTGAAGAATGTTCCATGGGGAAACAATCTTCATAATACAAATTTCTTATAGATAAAACTTTGGCAGACCCATTTTCAGTGCTGGCATTCAGATTCCCTAAAATTACTATCAGCTAATAGATATTTAGGATACATAAAGCTGGGAAAATAGTCAAATTGTTTCCATGCCTGTAAGGCCCTGTATGTATGTGTATCAAATGAGAGCTGTAGACACCAAGACCAATCAGGCCAGCCTTTCAGGGAACTCTGATCAGAATCAAGTGAAGAAAGTTCTTAAGTAATGGCTAATTATTATTCTCTAATATTAATCACAATTAGCACAAATGGCTATCTTCTGCCCTTACCAGAATAACCGGAATTATTTTGTATATAGGCACCTTTTTAAAAAAAAATTTTTTTTTGTTTTTTTTGAGACAGGGTTTTACTCTGTTGCCCAGGCTGGAGTGCAGTGATGCAGTCATAGCTCACTGCAGTCTCCAACTCCTGGGCTCAGGAGAGTCTCCTTCCTCAGCCTCCTGAGTAGCTGGGACTACAGGCATGCACCACCATGCCTGCTAAGTTTAAAAATTTTTAAAGTTTAAAGCTAAGTTTTTAAAATTTTCTTATAGAAATGAGGTCTCACTATGTTGCCCAGGCTGGCCTCAAATTCCTGGCCTCAAGTGATCCTCCTGCCTTGGCCTCCCAAAGTGAGCTGCTACACCTGACCTTATATATAGGGATCTTATATATACATGGGAAAATTCATTTTCTAAATGTTAGGTCTCTGGTAACAAAATCATCCATTTAACATTCATTGATTGTGTTAGTTTTATGCCAGACACTTTGCTGGGCCTGGGAATACAAAAGAGAATGAGGCATGGTTTCTGCCCTTAAGGAAATATAAAAAAGTATGAAATAAGTTTTCAACTTGTGTGTCAGATCTAATCATTTTATTGATAGTGGCTGCCTGGAAGGTTGTGTTGAGAAGGCTTCTGAGGCTTCATCTGGACATAGTGACTGATAATTAGCCCAATCTTCCATGAAGGTGAGAGAGGGGATAGTGCCAAATGCACCATCCATTTTCTGTCTCTGGCCTGGGAGACAGGCAGGCAGCTGCAGCTCA